ATCATTTATAGAGGATTTTAGAGTTTTCTCATGATGTTCAACACCTCACCTAATTTTATTTTCATAACCATTCTGGGAAATTGATGGGAGAGTTACTATCCTGTCTGATTTCCAGAGGGGCACTGAGAGTTTGAGTGGCCTGGAAAATCCGAATATGAATTCAGATACTTAATCTAATATAGTCATTATCAGATAGAATACTGTTGAACATTGGAAAAGGTCCATGAGATGAATTCATGGCTGAACAACATTGTGAGCTCATTGCGAATCTTGTTTGGTAAGGTCTACTGCATCCTGTTATTTAGAGTAGTATTTCTTTCAGGTGAGCAGGAGAAGTGTACTATATTTTCAGATTCAATTGGTATTTTCTTGCATGAAAACAAGGTGATACATTGGGGAAAAAAGTTGCAATGCTTCAATAAGAATACTTCTCCAAATCATAATATGAGGTGAAATGGATGATTAAAAGAACCTTATACTGTATTCTTCTGGTAGACATGGACTATTGCTAAATTGAAATATTCTATGTTCAAAAGAAAATAATGATGGTATTATCTGGTATTAAAAAAAATCCACGGTATTTCCTCAGTTAAATCCTTCCTCTCTGTTAACTTTTGACAAACCATTCTTGTTCACTGATGTATTATTGTCGTACACCCAGGAGAATGTAGTCAGGCTCTTGAGAAATATTTATCAAAATGAAATGAAATCTCTTGTGTGAATGGCAGCAGTTGGTAAGATGAAGAAGTAGCAAGCAGAACTAAGATCAGAAATGACCCCACGCACACACACTTACCAGACTTTGTTCAAGGACTTAAGGACTTTGTATATTATGTAGGTATAATTGTTAAATTTTCTACTCTTAAATTATTCCAGTTTTGAAGATAGAAGTAGATTAATTGTTGTTTGGCCAGGCGCCCCCAAGGACCCATAAACTCAAGGTTTTGGCTATGAACAAAGCAGTGAGCCTGCTAGGAACAGGAAAGGAATGAATGAACAGCCATGCCAGTGCCGACATCTTTGTGTGTGCCTCTTCTCATATAATTCTGCAGAATGCTCCCCTTGAGAGAGGAAGTGGGAAGGGGGGCTCCTAATTTGGGAATTAGCAGGCAGTGCTTGTATTAGGTTTATGTTGCTGCTGCTCCTGCTTCCCAAATCTGGGCTCTGGGCCCAGATTCTTGCCTGGAAATCTGGACCTCTCCATTGATCTGGTTCAAGAACTTCTCTTTAATACCGAGGGATATTTTCAGTTGGCTTTTGCTAAGCCAAATGGACTGAGTGAACTCAGCTTTTCTAATGTACTGTGTAGTTAGGTCAGTACATATACATTGTAACTCACAGAACTAGGATCAGCCTCTGTCTCTACACAGAACCACACTGGCCTTTTTCAGGTGACAGTACCCTCCCTGGCGTTAAGGCTGGTGGCATTTTCAGCAGTTGTCTGACTTTATGTGTCAGTAGCATTTGATGTGATTTGCCCCTTTCCTTCTTGAAAAGCTTTGCTTTTTGTTTTTGTTTTTCACTTGACTTCAAGGACTCCTCCTCTTTCTCCTTTGTTTTCTCTTCTGCTTCCTGACTTCTTGTTGGAATGTCCTAGGATTCAGGGGTTAGTCCTTTTCTACTTCCTGTCTCCTTCCCTTCTCCTGACTTTAAACACTCCCAGGATATTGATCTATTCCAGCTCTTTCCAGGAAAGATCAGTTCCCTGACTGTTCTTGTATGTAACTGCCCAGTTGACATTGGCACTGCAGCCTCTCTGGCTCTTTAGAAATGGACACCAGGGCCGTCCCTGGTGGCACAGCGGGTTAAAGCTCAGCACTGAGACGCTACAGCCACTTCCGCATGAGTTTGATCCCCTTCTGTTCCGGAGGTGACCACATGGCGTGGCAGACCTCTCCTGACCTGCCCGCTGCTCCCCTCAGCAGTGTACATTGTCAGTTTGCCTATTCTGCTCCCCACTCTGACTCTGGTGTATCCGCTCACCGCCCCGCACCTCTGGACTGTACCCCAGTTCTGTAGGCATAAATAAATAAATCTTAAAATAAGAGGACACCAGCATGCCCCTGAACCTGCTCTTCCTGGAATCACCATATCCTGGGCAGTGGCAAGTCTGTCTTTATAGCTGTTTGTGCGAAGATCCATGGCTTCAGCCTGAGTCCTCCTTTCTACCTTACCCTGTTCCTGCACACCATCAGATCACTCGGCTTTTCTTCCAAACACCTCCAGAATCTGCTTATGTCTCACCCCCCTCCACTACTCCCTCCATAGTCCAAATTGCTAAAATCTCCTTTGTCATGGGACACTCCTAACTGTGCTTTTCTTTCTGCTCAGGATGTCTGAGAACCTAGTCACACCACAGCAGAGCGCACTTTCCAAACTAGGGCAGGAGCCATACCTGTGCTCTCCTGACCAAATAAAAATCAAAAGGTATATTTGAACTTGATGCAGTGTGCATAGACTGACTTTTCTGTGGTGCACACCTGAAATTTACATGCTCTAGTGCAGTGACTTCATTAAGATATTTTCTTTTTTTTTAATTTTTAATTTTTTACAGCATAAACATAATTTTTTATATCAGTCTTCATTTTGTGCATTTTTCCAGCTCAGTTGTATTTTCTAATTAATAATTTGAGGTTAAAAACAATTCTTTCCAACATCCTGCAAGGCACTACACAATTTGTTCCTCAATCTCCTACCGCTTGGCTCTCTAACCTACTTCTCCCTCCTTGGCTTGCTTGTCTCCAGAAACAATAGGCTCTTTGCTCTCTATTTCACACCTCAGGCCAGTTGCTTTCTCAAATTTGCGGCTGCCACAATCCTCAGTGGGTCCCCGCTGCCTCTTCCCCTTCAGGGACTTGCTCACTTGTCTCCACTGAGTTCTCCCTAGCCTCGACCACCGATTGAAATGACAGCTCCCCTTCAAAAGCACTTCCTGATGCTGTCACGCCAGTGACTTTTCTCCACAGCACATGTCACCACCTGCCATACTGTTTAGAGTACTCATTTGTCTGCTCGTTCATTTCCCTGAGACAGCCAGCATAAGCTCTGCGGGAACAGGGTGATTGCTAATGTCCCTGTCACCCAGGAGAGTGCCAGGACCTCAGTAAATACTTGTGGAGAAAATGAGCTGATAACTTGAGCATAAATACTGAAATGCACATATAACAGCCTGCAGATCTAATTCCAGTATTCTAGTGTAGATTTCAAACTTTCCTTCAGAAGACACTGAGAAATGTGGGGAGCGGGACCTCCCACATCATCCTCCAAAAAGTTGGGGTCCTGACCTTGGGCTGACTCTGTCCCTCATCCTCACCCTGCACTGGGGTTCACTCTCTGGTCTTGGTTGTAATTGTGCAGGGGTTCTTTGACTGCTGGCACATGCTTGGACTTCACACTCTTTAAGTGCTACAATTTTTTATATTTTCTTTCTAAAGTTAATTTATTTATGCATACAGAACTGGGGCACAGGCCAGAGGTGCAGAGGCAATGAGAGGATTCACCAGAGACAGACAGGGGGGAAGAATTGGCAGATTCACAAAGTACACTGCTGAGGGGAGCAGCAGGCGGGTCAGGAGAGGTCTGCCACGCCATGTAGGGTCACCTCCGGGGCTGGGGATCGAACTCATGCTGAAGTGGCTGCAGGGCCAGTGTGCAGTGTTGTGTCCTAACCTGATGTGCCACCAAGGAGGGCCAACTTTTTATATTTTCTTCACTCTTGCTGTTCCTTTTTAAAACTAGAAATCAAAGAAGTGAAATTCTCTTCCAGTGCTGCCTTAAGGGCCTCTCAACTGCCAGCTACCACATCAACTCGTGAAATCTTATTTTTCTGGTTTAATTGATTTCTGTATGAGTTCCTGATACTACATCGATGAGGAAGAAATTTTATTCCATTTTGTCTTTGGATATAATTCATACTGCTTACTGTAGATTCACCCAGGATAGCCTACTTAATTCAGTATGATTTTTTTTTTTAAAAACCTAGCTCTGTGTATGTAGGGTCTTCTCCCAAAGAGCTCCACTGCTCTTTTTTTCTCAGCCGGCAGGAAATTCTGCCCTGTGTTTTCTGATTGACTCAGCTAAAAGAGACCTGATGACGCCGTTTACTTTCAGGGCAGGCGAGGGGAGGGACGGGTGTTCGACCTTCCCTGATGCTATTAATAGCACTTCAGGGAACACTCAGGTACCCTGAACATTTTAACATTTTCTTTGCAGTCAGCTCATGTTTGCAGAAAGAATGTCACATGCTGTCTGCACTGAGTACAAGTCACTTGCCCTCTGGTGCCTCCTTCGTTCCAGACAGATCTCACTCAACAGGATGTTCATTTACTTATAACCATGGCCTTTTCTCACAGTTGACTTCTATGTTTCTGTTGATGCTGCTTTCTCTGCCTGGCAGGATCCTGCTCATTCTTTGAGATTCAGTCCCCTGAGTCAGCTGGGCAGTGGTAACTTGGGGTCGTTCCTGGGATTCCCCACCTCTGCTTTAGCAACTTCCAAGTTCTGTGCCACATAAGTATCCATAGTCAAGCTTCTTCACCTCCCCAACTGTGAATTTGGAGGCTGTCGACTCTGTATCTTGTGTTTATTAGGAAGTTAGCCTAGGAGACCCTCACGCCATTTGTTGAAGGAACGGTTGACCAGTATGAGTGAATGACATTGATTGCATTCAAGCAGGGGAATGAAATTCATCTGTGTTTATTTCTAACTTACTGCCTTTAAAATTAATCCTGGGTTTAGCTTGGCATTCTCTGTTTTCCCCAGTGGATACCCTCCACTGTATGCATGGCCATTTCAATACATTTCATGGAGTTAAATAACTTTTATTTATTTTGACAGAACAGGCTAGTTTGTTCATTATAACTTGTTGGCATCTTTCTCCGCGCTCTTTTCTCCCTGCCCAGTCGTCAAGCAAATTCCTCCAGAGAGTCCGCTGTAAACAATGATTTTGTAAGTAGTTGTGTGTTCTCTGCAGTGAAATCCGCCTTGTTTTCTGTTGCTAGGCGACCCCATTCCAGCTGCCCTTGAAGAAATGCGCGGTGGTGGGAAATGGTGGGATTCTGAAGAACAGTGGCTGTGGCCGTCAAATAGATGAAGCAAATTTTGTCATGCGGTAAGAGAGAGCCCCAGTGCACCTCGGCCTTTTTTCCTTCCCCTCTTTCCCTCAAGCCCAGGGTGCTTTCAGAACCAGTCACTTGGGATTAACAGTAGTAGCTGCGCTTTAGCTTTCCTTCAAGTTCATATACCAGTGAGTTGAGAAGGCCAGCGGAACCAGGGAGCATGCCCCAGAACAAAGCCCAGAAAAGCTCAGAGATCACAGCAGGGAGGCCCCAAAAGTGAAACAGTCAGATTTTATTTCAGATAACGCAGTTGGGTGATAAAAATTTGAAAAAGGCAAACTCCCTATGTGTGTGTGTAAACATTTTAATATACTCATGTCTTTGTTTCACAAAAGCATTTGCAATAGCAAGTGGGATTTGAAGAAGGATTTGATTTGTGCCTGGCTAGGAAAACTATAAGGAAGGGTGGGGGGTAAATATGGAGACTGGTAAGTTTGGAGAGGCCTGAATAAGGGGGTATGGCAGTTGCCCCAGGGGCTATGAAGGGATGCTAAGCCCCATTCAGGCAGGCTTCCAGTCCATCCAAACACTGTGGCACCCACCAACCTGACCTGTGTTGTCAGTGATTCTGATGAGAAGTGAATACAGTTAGCAGGTTGGTTATAGGCCTGAGATGACCTGAGAGGAAGGACAAGGAGTGTGGGAGGTGGTACACCAAGACCTGGAGAAAGGCCACGACCAGAAGGTGGGGTCATTAAGGGTCTAATTGGGGCTGCTGGTAAAGATGAGGGAGCAGTGAAATATTTGAATCAGGGTCAAAAAAGGGTCCCTGGAATCTGGGATTTCAGAGCTTTGCTTCTCTGGGGCATGATCAGGCTGTGGTGAGAACAGACAGTGTTCCTGAGAAAGTGGAGAACTTTGCGGCTGGTCTATGGGAGGTCTTTCAGGGGGCCCAAAGTCTGCTGGAAAGGGAGCAATCCATAGCACGTGCATGGATGCTCTGGGGCCAGCAGGGCTGAGGTCTGCAGCAGCACAGAGGGCAGGGTGCTGAGCCAAGGAGGGAGGGGTGTAGTCAGGTGTTCATCTCAAGGATAAATAAGTCATGGTCTACAAGAGACAAAATGTGGCTCAGTGCAGGAGGGGAGAGTCAAGACTGGCATGTTTGGGGAGACACTTGTTTGAGGATGCCCTAGTTCCTCTCCGAGGAGAGTTGGATTCCCTGGAATAATGCCGAGCTTATGGTGAGGGCTGCAGCCCTCTGATGGACCCCTCCTTCATGGAGGTGCCCTGGCATGGCTCTCTTCTCCATTGCAATGAGTCCTAGTCTGCACTATAGCCACGAGCAGGAAAATGGAGAAAATGAAATTTTCTCTTAATTTATATCCATTTAGCACCTGTTGTGGGCCCTTAGCTGGGTCTGGAATGAACATTCAAGTTTCCATGAAAGCCGAGAACCTGGTGAGGTGGCATCAGAGGCAGAGGGTGCGGAATGGCGCTCAGGAAAAGTGGTAACTGAGCTGAGTCCTTTGGCTTTTTCACTCTGGGCCCAGGAGCAGTTTTTCCATGGCTCTGATGCGGGAAAGACACTGAATGTACCTCCAATACAGTGAGGTGGGAAAGTGGGTCGATGTGGGACTCAAATGGGCGTGACTTCTTGGGGGACAGAGTTGCCTAAGAAACAGAGGCCAGGGTTCAAATCCTAGCATCCATTCTTGTGGTTGGCATAGGGGGTCTGAAGAGCCGATAAAGAAACTAGAACTAGAATAGCGGATTAGTGTCATGCTTACAGAATCCACTAGCACTGTGATTTATGGGGCATTATTTCACCTTTGCTGATGATCTGCTTTTTGGTCTATATGAAGAGGCAGGAGCAGACAATGCTTGAAGTATTTCCATTGTGGAGACGCTGATTCTGTCATACGGATCATAGGTCATTCATAGCTACACAGTTGATGTAATCCAGTTTTAAGTTCTCTGCTCTCGTGTGTAAGTTTATTTGCTCTTTCTAAGAAACAATGTAAGAAAGATAGATTCAGGGAATTTGTGAGATTTTGAAAGATCTTACAACAGTGTAGAAGAAGGTAGTACAAAAACTGTGTTTTTATATTATTTCTGAGTGTTTATGTGTGTGTGCTGCTTTTAGGAAGATGGGTAAGCTTAACTTTAAGCTTAACTTTTGAAATCTAAGCCTAAGAATCTAGGGGACTCACTGGTGGGGTCATATTTATTGCAACTAATGAACAAAAAAACTAAGTTTGCATTGTATACAATCAGTGTTGAATATTCATGTTCAGAATTAATGGATGCTTGGGATTAGAGTTCCTGGCTGAACATTATAAGAATAATGTTCAAAGAGGGAGGTGAGGAGGGAAAAAAGTCAAAGATTGCAGTATTATAACTAGAGCTATGTATATATGTGTCTTGGATTTCATATCAAGAATAGCATCATAATACATTACAATTTATTTAAAAACCTTAATAATGATTGACAATATGGAAATAAGTAATGATAAATGATAAATTATTTGTATTTGATCATTTATGGATCTATTTATAAATGATTACTTAGGATACATTTTGGTCACCTTTAGAAAACTAGGATAGTATTATTAAACATGACTGAATTAATATTAACAAGAAAGCACATATTGGATCCTCCTTGGTGGTGCAGTGGGTTAAAGTGCAGCACTTTTAGGAAGCTAGCCACAGCGGTTTCAGCGCGAGTGCGATCCCCCACCAGGGAGGTGACCCACATGGAGCAGCAGACCTCTCTTGTCTCGCCCGCTGCTCCCCTCAGCAGTGTACTTCATCAATTTGCCTGTTCTGCTCCTCACTCTGTCTCTGGTGAATCCTCTCACCATCCCTGGACCTGGCCTGTACCCCAGTTCTGTAGGCATAAATACATAAATCTTAAAAAAAAAAAAAAAAAGAAAGCACATACTAAGTCTAATGCTAGACTATAGGGTGCATGGACAGTTAACAGTGAGAGAGGAGATCCCAAGCTAGCTTTATCTGTCTGCAGGGATTAATGCAAGACTCATTCAGTTCAAAATGTCTGCCGGGGTCAGGATACAATGATACCATCATTTTCTCTACTTCGATGTTTTCAAATACTTCTCGTAATGCTAAAATTCTGTTTCCTGCTTTTCAAAGTAAACATTTGTGCTCTAACCAAAAGCAATAGCTTAACTTTTAAAATAATATTGTTGAATAAGATTTATCTGGAAGGCTTGCAAGACCAAACCTGGCATTTTGGGGAAGGACTAGGTGACTTAAGGACACAAGTGAGGGCAGCGTAATTTTGGTGCCTTTTGAATATGCTCAAATGTGTGTTTTGCATAGCTAAGTATAAATAAATTTTTAAAAGCAGTTTTATGATTTTTTCTATTTAGAGATCCTTCTCCACCAAGCCCATTCCTCACCCACCTCTGCTCTCCGATTCAAAGAATATTCATTTTGCATTGATTCTGATCACATCTTTTAGGATCATGAGTTCAGTTACTCAGATACTGTAGCTGTTACTACCTGCTAATTGTGCCAACAAACGATAATGCAAAGTTTGAAACACTTTTACACAATTATGCCTTATTAGAAACAATTTGACTGTATTAAGTGTGCCTTTTATGTAAATCTATGTAATTATCAATTTAAGAGTTGAGGAGCTAAAATTACAATGTGCTTTTTTTTCTAAGAGCTACAGTGAAGTGTTATGTGCATTTACTCTCAAAGAGGTTTGCCCAGAACTTAAGACTGAGATTTACACCAAAAATAGTGTCATTATTTTCTGCAACTGCATTTGTAAAATGTTGTCTTTTTTCATTTCATGCATTTCTCTTAGTTGTAGGATTTGGCAGTACCAGCAAGTTTTTCTTGAGCTGTTACTATGTGGTAGGAGGATGCAGGAACCCAGACACATGAACCATGGATCTTCTTGCAAAGAACACACAGAAAAAGTACTGACTCATGAAAACCAGCTTGTTTCATTTAATAAGGACTGACTGGTTGGTCATTATGCCTGTAAACCTTACTCAGGGTTTACACGGTTAATATAATGTGGTTGTGTCTCAAATGTTACAAAGAACCAATTTTTAGCCCATCTTATCCTGTAGGTCATCTTTGCACACATCAGTGAAGTCACAAGACTATGGTCAGCACCTCGGTCTATGTGCTTGTTGTTACTGAAGAGGCTCATTCTCTCACGAGGGTCCTCAGAAACCACATGGGACATTGTGTCCCCACCTGACTGGGGCACAAGCCCGCTCTGAGCAACCCACAGCGTCTTTGCTGTTCCCTGTCAGTGGACACACTGCAGAAGTCACCAACTGGTTGATAATCAGATCTAGTGTCTGCTCCAGAGAACAGAGAAAGGAAGAGTCCAGTCAGCCTAGACGAGCGTCTGCCCAGGATGCCCTCACGAGGTCAGAGTCACAGGGCACACAGATGACCACTGTGAGGAGTTTGAGCTGATCAGCTTGGGTGGGGGGCAGGGGCAATTCCATGTCTTGGAGAAGTGTGTAAAAGTTCAAGTAGTCGGGGCACTGACAGAGACCGTAGTATTTGTAAGATGTTTGTAATTCGTGCTTGTCATTACCTGCAGTTAAATGATGCTTAAGTCTGTTGCAGTAATAGAAAGTTACAACTGGGGCCCTCCCTGGTGGCACAACGGGTTAGGATGCTGCACTGCAAGTGAGCCGCAGAGGCTCCAGTACAAGTTCGATCCCCGCCCCAGAGGTGACCCACATGGTGCAGCAGCCCTCTCCTGACCACCCCCCCACCGCTGCTCCCCTCAGCAGTGTACTTCATCCAGCTGCCTGTTCTGCTCCCCACTCTGTCTCTGGTGAATCCTTTCACCACCCTGCATCTCTGTCCTGTACCCCAGTACTTTGTGAATAAATAAATCTTTAAAAAAAAAAAGGAAAGAAAGAAAGTTAGAACTGCCTGATTATTAGGAGTTAAGTTAGAGATTTTGATGGAGAGAAGAAATTAGGACACAGTCTTAAAAGAAAACCTAGTGGAAGCTATAGGTTCAACAGGGCTTTCGTAAATAATGAGTAATTATATCAATGTTATGTTTGGAGTTTTACTATGTGTATGAGGTACGAAAATAGGTTGTTTTATATATATATATATGTATATATATATATACACATATCTTCCTTTAATCCTGTATTCACCTTATTAGAGTGGAGAAGTCGTTATCCTCATTTTGTATGGGGGGAAACAGATGGCAGACAGCTCAATGAACTCTTCTAACATCATATCTGCAGCAAGTCAGTGGTTTGGATTTGCAGTTTCCATATTCTCCGAGACATTGTGACTAAGTAGAGCAGCCAGGGTAGGGTGAGGAGAGAGGGGTTTGTGAGGGAAGAGGGGGAGTCATTTCCATCTCTTGGATACCTACCTGCACCCCGTCCCTTGCTGAATGGGGTCGTGTAGAGCCCTGGCACTTCTTTTAAATGAAAGAGCACTGTATTTTCACCAGTGGCCACCCACACACTGCTCCTGTAAAGTAGGACATACGTTAGCAGAGTTTGTACTGAATGCACTATTATAATTCAGAATCAGGGCAAGAAAGAAAAACACAAGCAAATACAATTATTCCCTGTCTCTTGAGGTTTGTGGGTCAGCAGAGAACACTGTAGATTGGTGCCCTCTCGTGTCCCACACCCTCCTGAGTCCTCATTGCAAGTCCTGTCACCTCAAAAAATATTTTGAACGGGATAAATTGACTCTAGTTATGTTTCCCCTTCATAGATCATACTTGCCTCTAGCTGATTTTTTTTTTCTTCCCTCTAAAGCAGGACAGTATTTATGAAAGCATTTGAAGATGCTAATCGTCATCTGATGTCTATTAAAATGTAAAGGTGATAAGAACTGGTGTTTTGCTACATCCAGTAACATTCCCAGTTGTCATGATAAGTGACTTGATTGAAAAGTGTGCAAATTCACTCTTAAATGGTCATTTCTGTTTCTCTAGATGCAATCTTCCTCCCTTGTCAAGTGAATACACCAAAGATGTGGGATCCAGAAGTCACTTAGTGACAGCGAACCCCAGCATAATTCGACAAAGGTAAGAGGGTATGATTTCCATTTGTGGGAGACTAAAGGGGGAGACTTTTGAAGTATTTTTAGCATCTTAAAGACAGTGAGCCCAAGTCAGTTTTGGAAACAAAGAAGAAAACCATCTGGACAGGCAGGAAGGATGAAGGAGGGAATTGTAAATAAACTAGACAGGATTATGGGTATCCAAACACTATTTGACATTTCCTACAGGATTCTGTTTCTTGCCTTTTGAGGTGGTAGAATCAACACGAGGATCCATTATTTTGTTCAAAGAAGTAACACGATATGCTATTTATTTACTCATTGATGCTATTTTTTGGTTTATTGTTTGCAGTCCTAATTCATGTATGGTGAACTGAATGGATATGTTTTGTTAGTGAATTAAGATAACAGTAATAGCCAATCTACTGCATATGCACACGTAGAAATAAACATTGTCAGCAGGTACAGGAATGTGTGATTATGGTAGGATGATATACTGTGTTATATTCTGTAAGACTTAGAAATAGGTAGGAAATTCTCGCTCTAATATTGCTTCCAGAAATCTCAGTCACTGCTGTGGGACCTTCTAGGGGTCAGTTCTGGTTGAGGGTGCTTGTCAGTAAACTATCAGCCATTTCTCCAAAGAAAAACTCAATCTGGAAAGAGAAGTCAGACACACCCTTTACACTCTCCTGTGTAGCTCACAGGGAGGAGGGAAATATCCAAACATGTTGGGCTCGGAAACTTGTCATCAAAAGCCCTGTCCAGAAATAGAGAGGAAGAGAGAAAAAGTCCTATCCAAGCTAACAGCACCTGGTGTCCCTTTATCAGCAACAGTTGGTTTCAGTTTGTGAGTAAGTGTTCCCATAAAGGAGCCAGATTGGACTGCTGTGAACTTCATGTAGCACAGTCACATGTTGATTCTCAGTGATGTACTCCTGGGACTTATATAATGTGATACTGCAGTGTTACATCAATAAAACAACTAAATTTAAAAAATTAAAATAAGAAAACAAGTTTTATTTTGACAGATAGTGAAATTATTCTTCCAAAATATACCTTTTACTAATGGATAAAACTGACTGTTTTTCCTTACCAAAGACAGCACGATGTACTAGTATTAATTTTAATAAGTTTTTGTCAATTTGGTGACAAGTGATGCATTTTTTTAAATTAAGGACTGAGGGCACTGCATATTAGTATTTCTTTTATTAACTACCTGTTGTATTTTTTGCTCATTTTTGAAAATAATTCTTAAAAAATACAGAAATGTTTTGTTGTTGCAATTTCCCTTTGCATTGTATTGCTTTGACAACTGTAATTTGAATTAGATTTGAAATAGGTCTGGAATAAAATATATTTTGGAAAAATAATTCAGAAATAGAGACCATTATAAGTAGTAAGTCTTTGCTGTACACGTGGCAAATATTTTGTTGTAGTTGTCCATATCTTTCACTTACATCCTGTCAGAGTCATTTTTCTGCAAAGAAATTTGTTAGACTTTTCCTTTATGGCTTCTTTAAAAAAATCATGCTTCAAATGATCTTCCTACCTCCATCTCTTCTAATGAGAAATTATTATCTTGTAATCTATAGTGCATTTGTCTTGCTTTTTTTTCTTTTTGTATTTAAGAAGTATAACCCATGTGAATGTATTTATTTTTAATTTCTATAATAATTTCACTATATTTTAAAAAACCACAGCCATTATGATAAATTAAAAGAGAAAAATACAAAGAAGGTGATGAAAATCATTCTACGTCTTGCCTTTATAAAGAAGTTGAAAGACCATTAGGTAAACTTTCCTCATATATTTTGTAAAGCCTTCAAAACTTTAAAGTTGTTGTGTTTTTTACCTTCTTTCACTCAATGTTGTCAGTTCAAGTCTAGTGAAAATCTCTCTGTTCCCAGGTAAGCACACGCATTTGTAGATCCCAAATCTATGACAGAGAGTATCACAAATCAATGAGAAAAGTCTTAAAAATAGTGTCAGAAGGAGCTTGGACAGTTACATGTCTAAATAGAAAAAAATATAACTACACGTCTACCTCAAACCTCATACCCAAAATCATTTCCGGGTGGTTAATAACTAAATTTGAGGAGAAGACCTGAAATCTTGCAGAAAATAGCATAGGACCTGTAATCTCTTAACCAAGTGTCAAATAACATTAATTATAAGGGAGAAGATTTGATTTTGATTATTAAAATTAGGAATGTTTATTCATTAAACAAAGAAAGGACCTTATAAAAATAGGACAAAGACAACCACATTATAGATGCCAACAAAAGAGTCATACCCAGACTATATGAATAACTCATATTCCATTTAGAAAGAAAATAATATGAAAGCCCAATAGGTAAAGAAATCAAAGAATTGAACCAGACAGTAAAGAACAAGTCCAAATAGCCAAGTGAATGAGTATATGTTCGACCCCGTTAGTAATCAGAAAAATACAAATGAAATTTTTAATGAGCTTTCATTAAAAATCCATCAAATTGGCAGAGATTGTGCCAGCTGTGGCTGAGACTGTGTAGCGGCAGAAACTATCATATATGTTAGTTGGAGTGCCTGTATTTGCAACTACCTTGTAATGTAGCTGAAGATGCATGAACTCTATTCATTCTTAAGTATATAACCCTAGAGCAAAACAGCAATTATGAAGAAGAAATGTAATTTTTTTAAGATTTATTTATTTATGCATATAAGAACTGGGTACAGGCCAGAGGCATGGTAGTGAGAGGATTCACCAGAGACAGAGTAGAGAACAGAACAGGTAGGTTGATCGAAGTACACTTCTGAGGGGAGCAGCGGGTGAGACAGGTGAGTTCTGCTGTGCCATGTGGGTCACATCTCAGTTGTGAATTTGTGCTGATGTGGCTGCAGATAACTTCATAGAGCGTGCTTTAACCTGTTGCACCACCAGGGAGGGCTGGGCATGTTTTATTTATGGCAGTGAACTAAAACTACTCAATAAGATGGATAAATTCACAAACATACTCTTGAGAAAAAGAAGTGAGTCACAAAAAGTAAATCGAGGATTCCATATAAAGCTAAAAATAAAGACAATTAGCAGTATGATTTAGGGACATATGTGTAGCAAGTAGAACTATAGAGAACAGCAGGTAGTCATAGTCAGGGGAGGACATTAATGGATTCAGTAAGGGGATATACAGGAATCATCCAAATTATTGTTAATGTTAACTTTTCTTGATCTAAACTACATAAAGTATTATATAAATTATATAAGATATAAACGACATAACTATTCTTTAAGTTGTACACATACATTGATGCATTCTTGTATATATATATTTTGCAAAATGGCATTCAAATGGTCAAGAACTACAAAACATAGAATTTTAGAAGATCTCAGTTTGCTTTTCTGGAAAAAATAGAGTTGCAAAGAAGTGTCCTTGATGATAAGTTATATATAAGGGCATCAGTGTCTAGAACACAAGGATTCATAGAAATATTTGAGCAAAGCATATTTAAAGCACTATTAACACTGCTATTATGATTTAAAACTCTGTTAAAATTGTAGTACCTTTTTTAACCCAGTGTAACCCCCAAAATTACAGGCTTTTCATTTTATAGATGGACTAAATAGCTGTCAAGCCTGAAAACATCTAATTGGTTGAATACATCTTATAACACATTAATAGCATCTTCTTCATGTGCCTAACATTATATGTGAACAGGCTAGTTTATAAAGTGCAAACACTTATATATGTAGATATTAAAATACTGATGATGGTGTTGTACTATATATGAACATTAAAAATTGTACTATATATGAACATTAAAATGGAAGACAGAAAATTAAAGTGGGAGAGGCAGTGTGTATTTTTGTATTAGAAGATTATCCTGTTTGTATTTGATATTTTATTTTATATCTTAGAATCTCCTTTCAAACCTGCCCAAACCCAAGACAGCGTCTTGCACTTTCATTTGACTAAATTCTTTCATTTGACTTGATTCTTATAGAAATATTCCATTGGAAGTTATAAGCACTGTGAATTTTCACTACAGAATTCTCTTAGAAAATATCACTATTGACTGCTGGAAAGCTGTATGCTGGAAAGCTGTATGGTAGTTCCTCAGACTACTAAAAATGGAACTACCATTTGATCCATCATTTCCACTAGGAATCTGCCCCAAGGACACAAAAGCACTAATTCAGAAGAATACCTGTAACCCTATGTTTTTTGCAGCACTACTTATAATAGGTAAGACTTGGAAACAATGCAAATAACCCAAAAATAGGTCACTGGGTGAAGATGATTTGGTATATATCCATCATGGAATACTACTCAGCAATCAAAAAAGGTAAACTCATGTCATTGGCAACAGCAAGTGTGGAGTTGGAAGGGATCGTGAACAATGATGTAAAATATAAACAAATTATACAGTAAAAAATCATTATCAAGATAAAATAGGTTTGAAAAATAGTAAATACAATGCGAAGCACACATTTATAGTAGCAAAAATAAGGTTGTAAAGTTAATGTTTCTTGATGTAAAAAAAATATTCTCTGTAAAAAGGAGGTATGCTGTAGTCCTGGTTAGACTATCTTCTTAGAGTGCATTCCTATTTTTTTTTAAAAAGAAAGTTTGATATATGAAAAACTAACTTCCTGTACTTGTTTAATATAAATAATTTGGTGAGTTTAGGCATTTGGATATACCTACAATAGCCTGACCTTAAGGTTTTAAGGTAATAAACATGCATTGCTTCTAGAACTTTCTGTCTCAGGGGTACACTTAACATGAGATTTAACTTCTTAACAAATTTCCATTCATTGGGCAGTAAAATACATTGTTTTTGGCCTAGAACAAAAAGATGAATTAGAGTACCTGGTGGGCAGGATTAGGAAGGGCTTTGGGGCCAGTCACAATCATGCTCTGACTCCATGTCCAGGGGGTGGGAGAAGAGAGGTCAGTTCAATGTGGTGCAGGGAGTGTGGGCCTTTTGAGCCACTGCTACTATCCTCTTCCTTTCTTGGCTGAGGTTTTTAGGTAGGTGGCC